CCCCTTGAAGATTTTATCTTTCCTAAATTGTCATTCCTGCACAAATCACATCATCGATCTTTCCTCTGAACTAAAGAAAGTTCCCAAATTGCATTTCTTCCCAGGTGTAGATATTTGGGACTAAAAACTGATCCAAATCTTGACTAGCCCCTTGTGGTGCCCTAGTGGGACACTCATCTCCATTTAAAATTCTCGTAATTATCAACCAGTAAGAGATACATTCACAAATCCTAATCTCCATGGAGCTCCATGGACAAGCATTTTTTACAAGGGAAATGTGGAAAACTTTTCATTAATGATAAAGGTTAATGAAATTTTTCAAGGTATTTTGCTCTTACTACTTTTGTGTTTGAAGGGAGAATTTTGAACATCATTCTTCAACTGTGATAAAAATGAAATATCCCTCTTGGGGAGAGCCAGGCTGTCTCCCTGTGAGATTCGACCATCTCATTAAAGTCAGCCCCACCACCATGGCCAGCCCTTTCAAGGGGACCAGCAGTGCCATTGTCATTCTTTCCTGCTCAAATGATCCTTCTTCTTTTAAATCCAATCCATTTCCTCTCACATCAGGCAAAAAAAAAGATTAAATGAAACAACTCAATACATAGCTATAAATAAGTAGAAAACACAATCAAGGAACTTCTTACTCAAAATCTAGAAGCTTTTTGGGCTGCAGCAAAATGTCATTTCATCTCTCACAGGAACCTGTCTCCAGATGAGATGGAGCTGAGGGATACCAACCAAATTTTTAGTTGCCATCCAAATTTATTGTATTGAAAATTTATTAACGTTTGTGTCTTCCTATACGAATGCTTTGTCTTTCTGTCCTTATCACAAGTGACTTGAACGTAGACCCAGTATTAGTCAAAAGATCGCATTTTATTTATTTTGAAAGAATAAAAAACAATGTAGGAGAACCTCCTATGGATGCCTACTCGAGGCTCAGGTAGGCACCTGAGCTGCCTTGCTCCAGGGCCAGAGCCATCTCGATGCTGCAGCGCAGGCCTGAGGTGCCGCTCAGCTGGAAGCTGCAGCCCTTGCCGGAGGGCAGCGCCGTCAGCCGGCAGTGGCGTGACTGGGGCAAAAGCTGCCAGGCCGATGTCACCAACATCTGGACCCAGCGGGTGACTTTCTCGGCGTCCAGGTACGAGCCCGTGCAGAGGGTGTCCAGCAGGTACCACTCCTGATCCCCGGGCAGCTGGCCACCACAGGCGTGGAGAAAGCACCTCGGCCCCAGCAGCCGCTCCCCGCAGCACAGGCACTCCAGCGCCACACGGACGCGCCCGGCTGGCGGATGCTCCGTGCTCTCCAGGATGAAGGAGTGGCCGGGGGGTGGCCGCAGCAGGACCAGCGGGCGGTAGGTGCTGCTGTTCTCCTGGACGCTGCAGACTTCACAGCTGCTGTACGTCCCGGCGACCAGGTGCAACTCCGGCATGAAATTCCTTCGGGACAGCACTCGGCAGACACCGAGGAGCTCGTCCAGCAGCTCCTTCAGCCCCTTCGTGCTGGACAGGTCCTGCTGGAGAAGCACAGAATCCCAGAAGGGTTGGGCTTGGCAGTCACCTTGCAAGGCCGCCCAGCTCATGGCTGTGGGGACGTTCTCAACTAGATCAGGGCGCTGACAG